CCCGAGCTGGAGGCAGGGCTCCAGGGGGGTCTCCCCAGAGCAGAGCAGAGGGGCAGAATCCCCTCCCTCGCCCCGCTGTGGGTGATGCAGCCCAGGAGACGCTTGGCTTTCTGGGCTCCGAGAGCACATTGCCAGCTCATGGCCAGCTTCTCATCTATCAGCACCCCCAAGTTCTTCCCGGCAGGGCTGCTCTCCATCCCTTCAGTAAGAAGGCCTCACAACGGCAATAACAGTTTTGCAACAATTTATTAGCCAATGTTCAGAGAAAATACAAAATCCTATTTACAGTGAAATCATAAGAACGGCCGGACAAGAGGAGCAGGGGACACAGAGCCAGTGTCCAGGTGATGCAGACCTCAGATAAAGGACATCCACACAGAGGAGAAGCAGCAGCCATGCATGTCCCCTGCACAGATGGTCAGGGAACCCAGGAGGAACATGCCTATAGCTATAATCCCACCCCTAATCCTGTGTTATCCTCATGGGCCCTTCCACCTTTCTGAACATGTACATGACTCACTGCTTCAGTCCACATGCTTTCACTGGGTCAGGCTTGGATGGACTGCAAGCCATGGGGTCAGCACAGAAGAGGGACCAGGACACAAGCAAGAAGGGAGCCCTGTGGAGGGGCAGGGGAGAGCAGCAAGCCATCCCCACTCAAGTGGCCTATAGACAAGCAGGTGCCGTGCAAGCTTTTCCCACGCGGGAGCAGAAAGCCAGGAGGTAGCAGCAGCTCAGGCAGCAGCAAAGTTACTCCACACCAGAAGGAAAAAGAGCAAGAGATCCAGAGTGGGCTGCAGATCCATGTTCTCCTCCCCAGGTCCCAAGGTATGCAGGGCCAGTTTGGAGGAGTCCCGGTGCAGAAAGGAGGGCTGCCTTGTCCTCCAGAGGAGGAGGTTTAGGACTATTTCAGAGTCAGAACTCATCACATAACTCCATACTCACTCCTCAAAAGCTGGAAAGCAGAAATACCTACAGGTCTTTTGCTGTGAGCAGAAAAAGGCCACACAGCCAGTCTGCTAAGATATTTCAGAAGTGCCTGCATGGGTCTGAGCCAGAAAATTCCCTCTTTAAAATCCTATTTCATAAACTTTTAAGGTGCCTCCCATGCTGTCCCCTCTCCCAGTTCTGCCTGCTTGGCAATTCAAGGCCCTTGTTTCTTCTCTAGCATGTACTGCAGAAATCATTAGGTCATGAAATTAATGCTATCACCACCTAATAGTGTCCTTTATTCCTAAAAAGAAAAAAAAAAAAAAAAGCATGTTGGAGGGGT